AGGATAATGGCAATGGCGATAAAGACCTTAAAAAGTCAGGAATAACATAAAAGCGTCAGTACGTGGAATCATTTTTTCCCCTCTCTTTTGACATGAATATGTGGTGTTATGAAATGGTTTCTAATTGAGCTGCTTATACAGTACCTTATACCCGTAGAGACCTTTGAAATCGTTGGACCCAAGGTCAGCAGGATACCAATCCCCAGCATGCTGTGATACAAATGGCCACAGAATCCCCCAAGAGATGATCGCACCGAGAAGAACTGAGCAGTTCACTATATGGGGGCATATAAGACCGCATCCAATATAAGTAGGACTGAAGTCAAAGTAAAACCTGTGTAGCAGAAAATTAGGACTAGTTAAAAAGTAGCAAAAGACATTCCAGCTATAACCCCATTCCACTTGTCACAGATCATAACTAAAATAATAACCTTGGACATTATTAACAAACTGGTTCAGAACTTCAGAGATAGTACAAACTTACGTGTTCTTGAATAGCGTCAAACCAAGGGTGGGGAAGTTATCAAATCCACATGCATCTCCAATACCACTGAAGAACCACTTGAAACAACTCCAAATTAAGCTAAGGCTCAGGTATTTTCCAAGACATTTAACCTGATTCCTGTAGTGAACAATATTGCAGGTACAGGTTCAATAAACTAAGGATATGGTTTGCAGAAACCAACATTGATCTTGACAAAAATTACCCTGCAAGCTCAGCTCCAGTGTTGGTGTGGAAGCTGTTAATCAACATTGCTGTGGCGGTCCCACTGGGATAAGTAAGTTTGTAGTCCAAAACCATCACCTGAGATAAAACTTATGAGTACGGAGAAGAATCAAACAACAGTGAAGGGACTACATATTTAACTATGCTATCGAAATGCTACCTTGCGTAACGGAACGAGACTAAAGAGCCCCAAGAAGCTGACTACAAATAAAAACCCAATCATCCACCACAATCCTGGATTTATAACATCTTCAGCATGGTTTCCCGGATAATCAGCACCAATGAGCTTATATGTCTTCTCATCCATAGCAATCAAATATGAACCAAATCCTCCTGAAATTAAAAATCTATATCAGACAAGAAGAATCCTTATACTAATTCTCAGAAATAGCTACAGATTTCAAGTCAATCAATCAGATTCTTGATCAAATCACAGTTACTATTGTAAAATCGCCAAAATAGCTACTGTTCCAGAATTTGAAAACTAAGATTCGGATTCGAACACAGATCTTGAGTGAGAAAGGTTTTATACCGCTAAAGGCGAGGCCATAGCAAGCAACAACACAAGTCTGAATAACGGTGTTCTCTTGCTTAGTGAATGGCTTCACCGTAAACCCTAGCTTCGATAAGAAACCAGTCCACGATTTAACGAAGAAGAATCCGAGTAATCCCGCAGCGACGTTCAACGACGGAATGATTCCAACCGTAAGATTGAGTTTATGAGTAATGATACAGAACAAAGTCCCGAGCAACGCACTCACAGTCAATCCTCGAATCGTTATCTGCTCTTTCCACTCAGGTACATGTTCCTCCGCCGCCGTCGCGTTTTTCTCAGATTCCGACGGTAACAATGCTTCCGATATCTCCGCCGATCTAGGGATCTCCGTCCCCATGTTTAAGCTAATTCAATGTGTGAGTTATCTCCGACGGATTCGACTTTTTCCGATTTCGATTCGAATTTTCCCGAGAAAAATGGATCCGAAGATCTAGAGAAAATGGTTATGGCGGAAGAGAAAATGGTAAGATTGACTGATTTTGGAGGTTAGTTATGGAAAAGCTTAAGATTAGACGCAATGTGGTTTAAGTAGGTCGAATAAGAAAGTGCCACGTGTAATTTTAATCTGTTACGTTAATCTTACTACCTCGAAACGATAAATATTTCTGTTGAGAATGGATTGATAACCCATAAATGTCTTTTTTGTTCATTTCTTTGTTAGTGTTCAGATTATTTATCCTTTTGCTATTTTATTCAACTAAATTTTGTAACGGTCGTTTTTACTTTTTATACTATTTTGTTTGTTGGGCTCATGTTTAGTATTGGGATGGGCCTTGCTAATTTATATAGAATAGTTTTTATATCATTACTTTGGATGAAATTGTTGAATTCCTTCAAAGTTTTTAAATTTTACCTAAATAATGTTCATGAAGTTTAAATCTAGTTATAAATTATAAATTGTGAGACCTTTAAGGCTTTAATGTTAATACTAATTGCACTTATGTATACTATTTTTTTTTTTTTTTTGTCAACAACTTTATTAGATTAGCTTATAAAAGCCAATTCTAGGGGATATTGTTTAGTAATTAGATGCGGTTGGCTACTAACATTTCGTGCCAAATTATCCGCTTTTGAATTTTCACGTCGAGAAATCAAAAATAAAGAGAAAATTCAGAAATTTTGGTTTATGCTATATCAATTAATTTTGGTTTAGCTTTAAACTCATTTTAGTTACGGAACACTTTGCTCTTGTACAGTCCATTCGAGTTGACTGAAGATATTTTACCTTTCTGTTTCTGTTTCTCAATCTCAATCTTGAGAGAAGCTAAAATGGCATCGGAGCAAATTTCACAAATTCATAAGCACCATAAGCGTGAAGCATCATTTTCTTCTTAAATAAGATACTGACAGAAGATCAAATGTTATTTATAGCTAGTCTAATAAAGAATGAAAATTCAGAAATGTTGCATAAATTGTAGTCTCCGGAAATTAGTTTAGACCAAAGCTCGCGATCCCACGATTATTTACTATATAAATAAACACTAATTAAGTCGAATTCTGATGACTCCATAACTCCATATCCATAAGATTTCCACAGAGACACCGTAGATATATTCAATATCATATATATAGGTCACTGTTCAAGAAAGTGCTAGGCGCTAAGCAGGCGGGGACTCAGTACCTAACGCCTAGAACGCCTAATCGGGGCCTAGGCGATTTTTAGGCGGTTTAGACGTTTATAACATAAAACATTATAAATATGATATTATATATACAAATTATATAAAATATCTATATAAAACTAAAAATTATGAAATTATAAACAAAAAATAGATAAAAAGTTTATTTATATTAAACAATATGAATATTTATAACTATATATAAATAAAACACTAATTGAAATTAAAAAATACATTAAACAAAATCGATGTAATTTTAGGCGGTCAAGGCGGTTATTTATAAGCGTCGCATGAGAGTCTAGCGTCTAGTCGGGGTCTAGGCGACCCCCTAGACCGTTTTTTAGAACAGTGATATAGGTAGAAAAGGAAGATTTAGCTAGTTACTTGTATATATTGTATACGTTGATGGTTTAATAAATATGTAGCTTCATATTTGAAACTCAATTCATATTTGAATATCAATTTGTGGTTTGATATATGAGGAAAAAATACTCAATTGATCTGATATGATATCGAATATCAGTTTTGTGGTTTGATATATGTGCATTCATAATGTTCTAAGTTATAATCAATATATTTTCGATATCATCCAAACATATATATGTTTGTGTCAATCAGTCAATGCTATGTTTTCGATTTGTGGACATCAATCCATTTACGATTAATCGAAGAGATTGAAAGCATGTAGCACATTCAGCGATCACAAGTACTCTTGGTGGCACTGGCACCTAAAATTTGCAAACCTACAAGAAATACGCTATAAAAAAAATGGGACCAAGAAAGAACATTTGAGGCACGTTTTATACTTCGTTTGTTAGTTTTTGCATGTGAAACAGTGCCACGATAATTTAGTGTACGATACAAAACAGTCCTCACGTGTATCAATCATAAAGATATCTAAGAATTAAGAAAGATCTTAATAGCGTACACATGAAATAGCTCTTTCTTCTTTAATTTGTTTACTTTGGGTCACATGAAGTACAACGTTGTAATGTTGTTTCTTGTTTCTGTTCTCAATAATAAAGATACCTTATAACATTTCAAGAAGATTTTAACCCATTAATTCCCTTCAAAAACTTGAGTTACAGGGTTTATATCTCTTCAATTTTACTTTTGCAATGCCTAGATGGAAATGACACTTTTTGATGACACATTTGATTCATATATATATATATATGACTTATGTTTCTCGGAAAAATTTCGTAGGTTTACGGCAAAATTTTCGTAGGAAATTAAAGTCGTAGGATTTTGTGTTGTTTACTTGTGTATACAATATTGTGGTAGTATTTTAATATCTTATAACTATATCCTAAATAATTAAAAACCCGTAAATGCACATCATATCGATTAATTTCTGACCGAAGATCATATCGACAAGAGAGACCATAACATTTTAAATTAGATATTTCAGACTTCTTCTCGTTGCCGGTCCTTGGATTCAAGACTTCATACTCTACGCTTTTGTTGGCCAACAAATACTCTGGTTATATATCTATAATTATTCCTTTATAATTCAACACTTTCTAGCTATAATGTCGGTGACGTGGCAAAAGAGGACAAAATAGTGGGATTCTCTCTGTGGAACCAGAGGCTTGCACGCCTTTTATTTTAAAAGATTGAAAACAACATTTCCTTTTGAAGATGTATCACTTTCCTTTTGGAGGAAAAAAGCATGCACGAAGGAACAGTATATACGACATGAATGATTACTCCAATAATACGATTGCGGTATGTTGTGTCATGTCATATAATATCATGTCATGGCGTACGATTATACACGTATCAGTTGTGAAAGAAGGTTCACAAAACATGTCCCAACAAATTAAAAAAAGTTGAAAAAGTGGGAGACCCTTCTCTCTACCTCGGCCAGATACTTCCGTATACACACACAGTCACACACACTACAAAAAAAGTGAGCATTGATAGCAGTTCACAATAGCACGGTTTCACTAATTGCTATGAATGATTGATTTGAGATTTTGATTTTGAATAATTTCTATCAATAGCATTTAATAAACGCTATAATAGAAAATCAATAAGCGAGAAGTTAAAATCACGTATTCCGTCAATACTTAGCCAAAAAGTTTAGATAGCCGCGAACACTTTAGCTTTTCTTCTTTTCTCAAAGACCTAAACAAATTATCTCAGAGACTAGAAAAAAAAAAAACTCTTAGGCTCACTAACAAATCTCGTCGCTTCCACCGTTGAAGCTAGTTGCAGCCTCTTCCTCTATCCTCGCCGTCACCGCCACTGTGGCTGACCGTCTCTCCCCACCCTCCTCCTCCAGTTCCCTTTCTCTCGAATCAACTCAGCCAAACCCTAACTCCCCTCCAATGGCTTCCGCCGCTGCCGCCACCACCAAATTAAACAGACGCAACCGAAACCCCACATCTCCGCCTATCAATCCCGATCTATTTCTCACGATGAAGTTTCAATCTACCGTGGAGGAGAATCGCTTTGGGAACAGAGAAGATGAATTCAAGTAGAGAAAGGGATGATTCGAAGAGTTTTAGATCGGGAAGTAGAGAGAGAGAGGACATGGTAATGGTGGTGATGGACGGATTAATATACTTCGATAAGTAGAGATTCAGTGACTCTTCTTCTTCTCCTTCTTCATCCTCGCAAAATGGTAAGCCATCTCAATTAGGGATTTTAGCTTTCTTTAATTTGGAAATTGGAAAACCAAAAAGGTATTCTTCATTAGGAGAAAACTGTAAACTGTAAGCTTCAAATCCAAAAAGAAAACTCTTTGTATCTAGAGATGGAGCTCGTGTGTGAAACTCTTTCTATTAAATTATCATTTTGATTGCTAAAGTGTTGCAGCTGGAGCTTGTACGATTTGAGAGAGACTTGTTGAATATCTCGAGTGGTGGAACCGTAAAAAAATGTAAGATTACTTCAATTCTAAGTTCTAACACATGATGTGTCTATATTTGCTCTTCGGATTTAGTAACTTCATTTATTTGAACTTTTTGGTGTAGGTAAATGAACAATAGGAAGCAAGCTGCGAAAGAGAATGCTCGTAATGAAAATAAGAAAGTCGTGTCTTCACCTACACGGCTACACCTGTTGAAAAGCCTGAAGCTCCTGAGACATGCACTAGTAGTCCAACTTGAGATTAGTCGGAGAGAAGTGAATCAAAAGATTCTGATGATTTAATGTGATTTTATTATTTAAAGGAGAGGATTTTGGAAGGTACTTTCTTGTTACTGCTAGCCTTTTGTGTTTGATTTCTTATTTTGCAGCTTGTATAAGGGTCTTGCTCCACGTTGGCTGTGAAGTTGATGATCTTCAGGTTTGGCTACACATTGTCTATTTGAATTTTAGTGCTTGGTTTGGTTAATTTCTCTGTTTGATAGTATGGATTTTTTGTGGATGACTTGATGGTTGGCAAAATAAAGAACAAGGAAGGATAATTCAGGTGCTTTTGATATTTCTAACATCTTAATTAGTTTTACATTTTGATAAAAACATAGGTTGTCTTTTGTAGATATGTATTCTCTTTGTGATATGTAGAGATCAGTTTATAAGACAAGTGGAAATAATGTTAAGACTTTGCTACTCCAAATACCTTTGCTTTAATGTTATTACAGATAGATGAGCAGAATATACAAGAACAGGTAGTGGAAATCAATTCTTCTTCATCTTTAGGAGCTGTTAAGAAAGGGGTGGGACATGTTGAGGACGAATGCTCACGAAAGAGGTAGTCTTTTAAGAATATAAATACCTTGCTCTTTTCTTTTCTTTATTCTGATGATTTTAAAACTGTTGTGTTTTCTATGGTGTGGTGTGTTTACTTTAGGTAGAACTATTTGCAACTAATGATTTCACCATGTTTTGTGATCTCGTTATTTGGTTTATATACATGGATTAGTTTAGCATCCTCTCTGTTTAATATTATTACCATGAGCTTCATCACCACTATTGGGTTTGAATCTCTTTACCATGTAAAAAAATTAGAGACTTGATATATGTATGAGTTATCTCTTTATTTTCTTCTAGATGTCTCTCTGAGTTTGTTAAATTTTTGGCGTTTGATGCAGCATTGATTTTAAGATAAAAACTATTGAGGAAACAAGATTGAAGACTGTGATATATGTTGATGCTTTTGTACACATGCTTACAGAGATTATGGACGGGGATGATATGGGAAGGCGAAACATATAAATGAGATTGAAGTTTATCTTTATGATGTTAGCTTTATTTTGTTTAAAACTTTGTATGAAGTTATGTAAAAAATTGTTAATGTAGTAATACTTTTATGTATTTTGATGATTTATGAAAAAATAAAATTTATATTATAAATCCAATTAAATTTATTTTACAAAACAGGATTTAAATATAATAATAATATATAAATTAAATTAAATATATATATATATATATATATATATATATCAAATAGAAATATGCTACAATACAATATAAACTAACACTAAATGTGTGCTATAATATAGTATATTGCAGCATTCTATTACCGCTATAATTGAACGATCTATAATTGCATGTCAGAAAACGCTATCGTATGGGTGTCTTCTACCATAGCTGCCGAGAACATAGCGTTTGTGAATTCGCTATCTATAACGTAAGATAGCATATTTTTAGCGCTAACAATGAACAAATTTCTTGTAGTGACACACACCTTTTAGATCGAGAACAACCTTTCCCCAACTTTGTAACGTCCCATCTTACGTACTTATTACTATTTCAGACACCACACGTAAATAAAACTTCGATAAATGAAAATCTATATATAGATTCTCAACACATTACGACAGAAGACGGACAACGCCAACAAAACTGATCATGTACTATTCTAAACTCAATCATAAGAATAGATCCTTCTAGCTCAAGCTTGACCTAGCTACTTATATTTACAACTATTTATATAGTTATAAACCACAAAGAGAATTGAAAAGAAAAATAGAAGCTGAGCGAAGACAACATGAAGGTGAGTACTATACATTCCAGTTTCCAAGTCTAATCAAAATATTATTTTCTTTTTGATGATTAATGAGGTAAAATCGTACGTAATTAATCTCTCATTAACTAATCATTCATGTTAACAACCTCTCTCTCTATCTATGTCTCTTGCAGCTGCTAAGTTGGATGCGAACAATAAAGCCAAATGGCTTAAACCCATCAAAGGAGTTCAAAGGTTTCACAATATAAGACATTTTTTTTGTTTGTAATATATAAGACATGTATCTTTTATATAACCCTTTTGGTATCTTCATTTTCATACAATGTTGTGTATATATATATATATATATATATATTTCATACAATGTTATACATATCTGTTAGTCTTGGTTGATTCTAATGAGCATAGTCTCTCTAACCAGTAGTTCTTTAATAAACTAAAATCAATCTATCTCTTTTAGGTGATTTCTGTTGTCTAAGAGCTCAGGTTTCCGAAGTCCAAGACATCCGCACAAACTCCTTTTCCTTCTACGGACACTCTCATGCCCCGAATCCACTCAAAGTTGAACAAGATCTTCGGTTTGATGAAGACGGGTTTTGCGGATTTCTAGCGATCGGGACGCTTGGTACAGAGCCTGAGACACCAAAGTTCTCAGCTATGGTTTCAGAAGAAGATGTAACCGGAGAAAGAAAGGAAATGGCCAAGCTCATTACTGAGAAACTAGACAAGTTTCTTAAGGAATATCCTGAGAATACTAGCAGTAATCGGGTCGAAAGATCGAATGCAAAAGAAGACAGAGATTCCCATGGATGTTCTCTACAAGATTATGATCTCTTTCGATCATCCATTGAGCTTACGAAGAGAAGCAATGGAAGAGTAAAGAAGAAAAAGAGTTTACTTACTAGTCTCTTCAAGATGAGACAAAGAGTACAAGGAGAGCCTTACATAGAGAAACATAGCACAAGAGATGCGATTAAAAGGGTATTTAAAAAGCTTCATGGATCTTCTTCAAGGACAAGAAATAATGATGAAGATGATTCTATGCCCAAGGAGAAGAAAGCTCTTAAAAAGGTTTAGTCTTTTTTAGCTTTAAACATTTTCAAATCTTACCCCAAGAGATTGATAATTCTGAAAGTTACTGTGGTTTCTGTTTTGGCTATAGAGTGTTCAAACTTGCCGGAGTAAAGTCCACCCTGTTCTCTATACACCTGCAACTGCAAGAGACGATAATGAGATAGATGACAGAAGAAAAGTGGATCTAAAGGTCCCTAATCTTACTGAAGGGTTTCTCGGTGCAAGTTCCATCTCCGAAGCGAACAGGAATCGCGAAAACTGGATTAAGACCGACACAGAGTGTAAGTCAAGATGCAATATATACAGACCATTGAACACGAAGAACACTATCTGTTTATGTCATTTCTCTCTTTATAGAGTTTTCATATCATTTGCTTGCCTTTTGCAGATCTTGTTCTGGAGCTGTGAAGATAAATACTCACTGCGACAAACCTCCATTGATGTTCCAAGCAAAGCTCTCTCCTATCAAATCCATATATAATATACAAAAAATCAGAATTTATTACTGTGTAGTTAAAGGGGTTATGTACTCTAGTTTAAGTTAAGGCAATGTAAAAGAAGCTCATGTAAAATGCTCTGGTCCCTGGCCTGAGGGGATGTACGGGCCTAGGCCTAGAACCTCTTAGTTATTAAAAAAAAAAAGAAGTTCATGTATAAAAGTACTGTACCCGAATTTAAACCGCATTTGAAGTAGCACCTATAAGTGATTTGGCCACATGTGTTAACCACTCATACCCGTCACATCTCTGCTCCAAACCAATCGCTGACCCGGTAAATCGAGATTTGACCCTCTTTGACTCTTGAGCTCGAATTCAACTCCATTAGTGCAAGCCTAACAATAAGAAAATAGAACATTTTGAAAAGATCCGAAAACATAGATCAATCACAAGAAACAGAGGTACTGAACTCAATGCTTATTCAACCGGATTCAATCGGTTAACAGAAAACCGAAACCAAACTTTCACCGGGTCCACTGTTACTCAAGACTCTAGAGAAACAAACAAAAAGGTAAACCAAACTACTAAGAAAACAATCAAGTGGGCACATTTCTTGATATCGTCTTCTTTATGCAGTAATCTACTTTATATCAAAGTCTTTAACAAAAAGCAAACAACACCAAAGAGCATAGAAACAATTGATTGAACAATCATAAAAGAGAAAGAAGACGATAAGTTCACAAAAGCAAAGCCAATAAAGAAATACAATGCCTTTCCTCGTAATCTATCACTAAGCTTAGTATCTTAACCTCTTATTCCTTCTCCTTAGCCACCAAGAAAAGCCAAAAAGACTCTCATCACTCACCTTCTTCTACATAACTCTCCACTTGTCTCCATCTTCATCTGCAAAAGAACAAACAAACACTCTTTAAACACACACACTTCACACAACCATATTCAATACACAACACTAAGAAGACAAGAGATCAAAAACCGTTATATATGAGCACGGATTGGGGACCGGTGATTGTAGCGGTGTCTCTCTTCATCCTACTCTCACCAGGACTACTATTCCAGCTTCCCGCAAGAACAAGAGTGGTTGAATTCGGAAACATGACTACAAGCGGTATAGCGATTTTAGTTCACGCATTTATATATTTCTGTATACTCACAATCTTGGTGATTGCTATACAAATTCACATCCATTTCTAATCTCTACTCTTCTATCATGTAATGTAATATAGCCAACAAAAGAAGGCATTTTTATTGCAAACTCCAATGTATGTACAAAATCTCTCTAAATTTCTCCTCTTCTTTAGCTTCATTGTTCGCTATTGCTAATAAAGTTGTGATTTTTAACAGTAAAATTCAAGCCAATAAACACATTTACTAATAAAAGAAGCAAATTGATTCATTTGAGTAACAATACATCACAATACAACACAACCCTTTAGACCAAATCTGTTTGTTACAACATGAGAACAAAAACTATAGATTAAGTTAAGTAAAAACTTTTTGGAGATAAACAACAACGAAAAGAGAGAGGAGAGACCCAGATGAGATCAGATTCAGCCAGTGTAGATGTGGAGATTAAGAGCGAGGATCAAAATGGAGTAAATGGCGAAGAAGATGAGAGTGTGAACAGCGATGGCTTTGCCGTTGGTTTTGAGACCACCGAAATCGACAGTGCGGTTGTTACCAGGTAAAGAGAAGAGAAGTCCCGGTGAGAGAATCACGAAGAGGACCACACCGACGAGAACTGGAGCCCAATCCGCCATTGAAGTAGAAAAAAGGTTACAACTTTAGAAAGCGGTGGAGATGGAAGAAACTAGAAAAAAAGAGGAAAGTTTTTGGTATGGGACTCTGTTTTTTTTTTATATTTGGGGTTTAAAGGAAAAATTAAACTAATCTCGTGATAATTAAAGGATGGAGGAGGGCACGAGAAAATATTTTGTCTGCTAGTCAAGACTCGAGTGGTCTGCAGACTCTGAAAATTTGAAAATTAAACCAATATTAAATTTCAAAACGTAATGATTAAAATAGGATTAATAGTAATTCAACAAAAATTTCTTTATGAATCGATTGATATTTTGAAAATTAAGAATTATAAGTCACAATTAAACCAAAACATTTTTTAGTATAATTGAATCGAACTAAATAAAAAAAAATTATTATAAATGTTTTGGTTTCAATTTTTTTATTATCTGCTTTTAATATATACAATTATACTAAAAATTTATGATAATTTTTTATTATAATTGTGTATATATATACACAATTAAACCAAAACATTTTTTGTGTTACAAATGATTTTGTTTAATTCAATTTATTTAAATCTAATTAAAACAAAAATTGAATACATTGAACTAATTGTTGTGAACAAAGAGGTTTTAGGGAATTATCCTCTATGTTATTGACAGTGGCGGACCCAAGAATTGTTTTTACCCATATCATTAAAAAAAAGGGAAAAAATTAAACCAATTATGTTTAGACAAAAAATTAAACCAATTATGTTTAGACAGAGACTTGAACTCGGGATAGGGAGGTCATGGACACACAAATACCAACTCAGTTGCTGTTTTTTTTTCTAGTTTCTTACACATAAAAAGGTTTATATCATTATTTTACCAGGTCAGTTGCTCACCCCCTCCCTTTACTGGGTCCGCCCCTGGTTATTGATCCATTGTACAAGATACAAACATATATATAAAGATACAACATTAGGGTTTAGGTTAAAGATTAAGTCTTCTATAACCTACTAATGGACCATATAATAGACATCCATATATTATATTTTATTATTTATAACACTAATTAAATTTTAAAATCTTCATAAGTAATGTTAGTTTGACTCCAAAAAAGAAGAAAGAAAGTAATGTTGGTGACTTAGTTTGATTATTTTTTCTATTTTTTGACATAAAGGATTAGATTCAGGGAAAGTTTAGTGTTCTTATAACTTTTTACAAAATAATTATTTAATATTAATTTTTAAATTAATATTGTACCCTTTTCTTTTGTTAGCCTTTAAAGGAATATATTTGCTCTCTCTTCGCTGGTGGTGGACTGACTGACTCCACACTCCACAAAATTAATAAATTAAATTAGCTTTCTAGTTTGTAAGTTACTCTTTTGTGTGTAAGTTACTTCTTAGTTAAGTTTTTTATAGGACCCTCAAAGCAATCAAATTTTACATATTCTTAGTCTTATGATGTGTTACGATTTTCATGTGAACTTCTTAGTGTTAATAATTTCAAGTTTGCAACTAATTCAATACCAGCAAAAGTTTACTGATCAATCTAAATTGGAGAGTATTAAACAGACAACGGTGTTGTTTACGATATATGAAAAATATACAAAATACAGTTTATGAAACCTTTTTGTTTCTTAAACCAAACAAAACAGTGCATTACACACAATTCAAATGAAATGAAAAGTGATTATAAAAATCTAAATACATTAATACAAAAAAAGAAGAAGTGAGATTTAATATTGTTTTATACTATTAGCCGATGTACATGTGAATTTGGAGAGCAAGCAAGAGAATACAAACAAGAGTGAAGTAAATGAGAGTATGAACAATAACCGAAAGACCACTTGTCTGAAACGTTCCAAACTCAACCACTCGACCTCTCCCGGGAACTTGAATCAGCAGTCCCGGAGTTAGCAACACGAAAAGCGTCACCGCGACAAAAACTGGTCCCCAATCAGGCATGTTTCGATCGATCCAAACCCTATTTCTATGTATCTTAAGAGGGATATAGTTGATCAATGCAAATGCATAAGTGTGTGTATTTATATGTAGGGAAAATTGTAGTGGAGAATAGAAGATTGGGTGGGTTCTTTTCTTTAGGAGAATAGAGTGATCCATTGGTTAATGTCGGAAGAAAGAGTGCTTTGGGAGGAAAAGGACAAATTTTTGTGACATGGAAGGATTAAAGTCATAAGAAAAAGAGAGATTATGATCCATCAACTTGTGTGAGGATTCACATTATTAATGTGACATTAATTTCATTGGAATATGATGTCACATGGGATTAGCTTTGGATCAAAGGAAACAAATATACAAAGTATTTGGTCCACTTTTTAATGGTTTACTTTACTTGCAATAATCTAAGCCTTTATGAGATAAATATAAACAAATATTTCTCTATTTGGGAAGCTATAAAAAATTATGAGACTCTTAAAGTTTTATTGGATCCAAGTTTGAAGGTTAAAAAATGCTACATTTCTGATTACTTGACCATCAAGAAACAAAGTGCAATACATAATTAAGAACATAGCAAAACCTCAACAAACAAAAGACAAGTTCTTTTGATCTTCCTCAAGTTATAAAGGGCTATGTTTTAAAACTAAGACGAAAACAAACAACCAAACCAAACACAAATAAGAACCAAACTTTTCCATACTCATCAAACAACATCATCGTAAGAACTCAAGCAGAGCATTCATGTCTGCACACTTCACCTTCAAGTCCTTTAAATCTTCCTCAATTTCTTGCAGCCTAGTCTTACCAGTCTCTTTCAGTTTCATCTCCAACCAATCCAACTTAAACCCTGCTTTTGTCACATATCGTAGTGCAGAATATGCATCAGCAAGATCACCATTAGAGAGTTTATCAGGGGACTTGCACATAATCTCATTCAGACTTAGTACAACATTCAAGTATGTTTTCTTCAAATGTGGGTTCTTGGGACAGACTTTTGATGCAAAGCCTGGGTACTTTTTAAACAGACTGTTCACAGAATCTACCTGCAAGTAAACCAAACGGACAGTTCAAATAAAAACCATATCGAATAGCAGTTTTTGGAGACCTGAAAATAAACAAACAAAAAGTACATGCAGCCTGCAACTAAATATGTACATAACAACAAAATGAAATCTAGTGAGAAACTCTTACAATTCGTTTCATTTTTTTCTTTTCTACGAATTTAGAAGTATTTTTCTTACTTGTGAAGCAGGGACTTGAAACCCATTGATATCAAAGCTTTCTGGTTTCTCGGGTACATCGACTATACCAATAACTTCAAGCACATCTACTTCTGCAACAATCTTGACTTCTCCGTTTACAAGAAACCCTTTATGACTGCTTTGAATCTCCGAAAGGAGAAACATAGATTGAAAACCCCTGGTTGTGTTCTTTTGATCAAACCAATATTCTGCTTCTGAAAACAAAACCACAAAACAAATATGATATTATCATCAATCACATATTCACATTTCCATAGAAAGCATGACAAGAGCTATATACTCCAACATAGAGGTTGTGTTCTTTTCGGTTGTCCGCCTTATCAAAAAGTGGCTGAGAGTAGAAAAGATCACCTCGCTGTAGGGAGAGTTCTCCCGGAATTTGAGTTACCATAGTAAAAGAAAATTTAGCGTGTCTTCTCCATCCGGAAGGCAAAGACTTAGAATTAGGAACATATATATAAAGAGAGAAGTAATCATAGATATTAATATTATTATATCCCTTGGGATAGGCGAGTAGACCCCTACAAGCAAAAACCACAGAAAGCAATGAATATGTGTCATTTGCTGCGATAGAACACGAATATATAGCACTTGCAAACAAGAAGTGCTCTTACCATTTGCAGCGACCAGCCTCGAATACATCAGAATAAACATTATTGGAACCCAAAGAGGAGAAATTCTTAATCACCCAAGTGAACTTCTTATCAGCTTGATTCCCCATTGTTCTTGATGATGATGACGACTCCTAAACACACCCAATTTTTGTAATTGTTTTTACAAGATACCACGCTTGACAAGACGAACAGTCAAGGAAATGAAAGAGACACGGACGATGAACTCACATGAGTGCAGCAACCAACAGCTTTTAAAGGCATGCAAGTGTGTAGAGGAGAGGAATGCGAATCGTTTGGGCTCCTTACTATTAACAAAACTCATTTAATAAAAAATAAAAATAATTAATTGGGTTTTCTTATCAAGGAAAAAATAGTTATTGCAAGTCGTACATTTTACTTTCCCAAAGTATTTTTAAGACAGTGGGAAAAAGACATTCCCGAGAACAAGTGATGATGTCAGGTATCTGCTTCCAAAAACAGGTGAAACTCTTCTTCTTCCTGCTTAATCCATTTCCTCTCCGGACAAAAGTGACGCCTCAGGCTCAAAATCTGCACTTTCTAGTTGCTTTTGAAGCTGTTCTGATTCAAGAACCAATGGAAACAACAAAATATTCATTGATTGTTACACCAATGTGGGATCTTAGACATTTTAGTAGGTCATTTTAAAGCTGATTGCTCTGTTTCTACAGTGTAAGAACGAGTTCATTTAATTGAGAAGTACTCTAGCATCTTTGTATTTCATTTAGTTTGACTATCTTTTGTGAGCCAAAAGTCACAGTTCAGACTTAATAAACCAAGACATTTCTGATTACTTTTCCATCAAGAAATAAAGCAAAACTCCAACAACAAAACAAGTTTAAAAGGACTCTGTTTCGAAATTAAGATATATCAAACAAACAGACCAGAACACCAATTAGATCAAAACCCTTAACTTCCATAGCATCAAACAACATCATCGTAAGAACTCAAGCAGAGCATCCATGTCTGCGCACTTCACCTTCAAGTCCTTCAACTCTTCCTCAATATCTTGCAACCGAGTTTCACCTGTCTCTTTCAGTGTCTTCTCCAACGAATCCAACTTAAACCCTGCTTCTGTCACATATCGTAGTGCAGAATACGCTTCGGCCAGATCACCATTCGAGAGCTCCTCAGGGGACATGCTCGTAGTCTCAGTTAGACTTAGTATAGCATTCAAATATGCTTTTCTCAGATGCTGGTTCTTGGGACAGTGTTTTGATGCAAAGCCTGGATACTTTTCAAATAGACTGTTCACAGATTCTACCTGCAAGTAAAAAAGGGCAGATCAAGTATCAAGCAAATGAACTCAAGTGATTTAGAAGTACTTATCTTACTTGTGAAGGAGGAACTTGAAACCCATTGATATCAATGTTTCCCTCTGGTTCATCGAAATTATCGATAACTTCAAGAACATCTACTTCTGCAACAATCTTGACTTCTCCGTTTATCAGAAACCCATTATCTCTACTAGGAAACCGGGAACCCCAAAACATACTAAAACCCAATCTTGTGTTCTTTTCATCAAACCAGCCTTGTGAAACTGAAAGAAAGGAAAAAAAGATTTGTTCTCATCATCATTTACATCACTAAAGAAGACATGACTTGACCTATACTCCAACATATAGGTTTTGTTCTTTCCGATTTTCCGCCTTATAAAAACAATCATTAAGTGGAGAGAGTAGAAACAATAACCTTGCATATGGGAGAGTTTTTCTTGAAATTGATTTACCATAGTCAAGGAAAATTTAGCGTGTCTTCTCCATCCGGAACACAAAGATTTAGAATCAGAAACACATAGATACAAAGAGTAACATTTACTATAACTAAATTCATCAAATCTCTTGGGATAAGCGACTAGATGGCTGCAGGCAAAAACAATATGTGTCACTTGCAACGACCAACCACAAATATATATATATATATATATATATATATATATATATCACTTGCAAACAAGTTATGTTCTTTACCATTTGCAACGCCCGGCCTGGAATGTATCAGAGTAAACTCTATCGGAATCCAAAGAGTTGAAATTCTTAATCACCCAAGTGAACTTCTTATCAGCTTGATGATTCCCCATTGATCTTGATGATGATGACTCCTAAACACACAAGTTTGTAACTCGAACAAGTTAATTAATCATATCAAGAAACAAAACCTCAATATAGACTAAGATATAAAGACTACACTATGAAACAACATAGTAACATGTTTTTTAAGAAAAACTTTATTTACAAGTTACCACTCTTGACAAGACGTACAGTCAAGGAAATGAAAGAGTAGAATGATAAGTTGGCAAGCCTGTGGGATCTCCAATCGATCAGAATCACAAGTTGTCTCTCTCTAAGAGTATGGTGTTACCAGATCCAGCACGATATAGACGACTTGTTGGCCGCCTTGTTTACTTGGCATCGACCCGACCAGATCTTTCTTATGCCATTCATATCTTGTCGCAGTTCATGCAAAAACCAAGAGAAGAGCACTGGTCTGCGGCTCTCAAAGTTGTCCGTTATTTGAAAGGAACGATTGGACAAGGGATTCTTCTCCGAGCCAATTCTCCACTCCACTTAACAGGTTGGTGTGACTCCGATCACGGCAGCTGTCCCTTATCTCGCAAGTCATTAACAGGATGGATTGTTCAATTTGGTGATTCACCAATTTCATGGAAATCCAAGAAACAGAAAACAGTCTCACTATCTTCCGCAGAGGCTGAATACCGTGCAATGGGTGCTGTCACTAAAGAACTTCTATGGCTCAAATCGTTGCTGTCTGAAATTGGCATTGATCATACTGCTCCAATGTCTCTTCGGTGTGATAGTCAAGCTGCATTGCACATTAGTGCTAATCCTGTTTTCATGAAAGAACTAAATACATTGAAGTCGAGTGTCATTTCATTCGTGATTGCATCATTGCTGGCACCATCAAACCGTCCTACGTCCCAACATTGGATCAACTGGCCGATATTCTAACTAAAGCTTTGGGACGACGGGAGTTCATGCTTTCTTGCGCAAGTTGGGCATTCAAAATTTGTACGCTCCAACTTGAGGGGGGGTATTAAGGCTAAACTTGATCCCCAAGTTGTGTAATTATCTTTTAGTTAGTTTTCCTTTTACTAGCTAAACTCTTCTTGTATAAATAGAGACCTTATGGTTATGTTAATAAGACACATAAACAATTCACATATCTATTTGTCAGTTTTGAACCCTCAGAGACACGGACGATGAACTCACATAAGTGCAGCAACAGCTTTTAATGGCATGCAACTGTGTAGACGAGAGGAATGCGAATCGTTTCGACTCCTCATAAGTCATAGACTAGCTTATAGGGTTTGATAGGGCCTTAATGATAACAATATTTTTTTTAATAAAAAATATAAATAATTAATTGGGTTTTCTTGTCAAGGAAAAACTAGTTATTGCAAGACGAAAAATTTAGCTTTCCCAAAGTATTTTTAAGACAGTGGGAAAAAGGACATTCCCGAGAACAAGTGATGTCAGATGTATGTCTGTCTTTTTTTCCCTCTAACTAGGGTTGCCATGCGTGAATTGTAAGTTGAAGTAGAAGAAGAATATGAATATCTTTAAAATCATAAGAGTTTTTTAAATCTAAGAGATATGATATTTTGACTACCACTAATCCAATATACAGAGAAAAAATGAATTTGCATGCATGCCTGTGAAAATATCGGAAAGTGCAGTTGAAAGTACAATGAAGAATTGATGCAAGTTCTTTCTTTTTACATTTATGTTTAAAGAGTATATGGAGATGACAAGAGACACTTGAGTACAGAAATTGTAGAGAACTGAGAAGCTAAGGGACGCCTCAAGTTCAAAATCCGCAGTTTCTAGTTGCTTTTGAATCTGTTTTGATTCAAGAACCAATGGAAACAACAGAAGATTCGATGAATGTTACACTAATGTAGGATCTTGGACATTTCATTAGGTCTCATTTTAAAGCTGATTGTTTTGTTTCTACAGTGTACTACTTCATTTGAATCCGTCCTGACCAGACTCATACAATTTCCCATAGACCAAAAACCATAGTGAAACGCTTGTTCGTTTAGTACTAATGAAAATGATCTATATGATATTGAGTTGATTAAAAGAGAAAAACAGTTCTTTTTACCTATCGGAAGATAGCAGATTGGTCATCTAGAGTAAATTTACGCATATACTTAAGCATCTCTAGTTGCTGCAGTAAGCACATTCGAATATTTAGACATTGATCTTCAATGGAATTTTTCTTGTAAATAACCAAAGCTGACATTACCTGTTCTTGTAAATGTTGTTGTGCTTTCATTTTCTGTTCAAGCCAACTGGTCCAAGCTTAGCATAATCTAATCTCGTAAGAACATAACAATTCATTAAGAAACATAACTAAAGGAAACAACTTTCTGATGACACCGGTAGATGAGAGCGAGCTTACTTAGCGAGGAACTTGTGGAAAAGAACGAGTTCATTTAGTTTGACTATCTTTGTGAGCCAACTGTCACATTTCAGGCTTAAGAATCCAAGACAATTCTGATTACTTTTCCATCAAGAAACAAAGTGCAATACTGTATATAAAACAAAGCAAAACCTCAACAACAAAACAAGTTTAAAAGGACTCTGTTTCAAAACTAAGATGTATCAAACAAACAGACCAGGACACCAATTAGATCCCAACTCTTTAACTTTTCTAGTCATCAAGGTAAGAATTTAAGCAGAGCATCCATGTCTGCGCAATTCACCTTCAAGTCATTCGACTCTTCCTCAATTTCTTGCAACCGAGTTTCACCAGTCTCTTTCAGTGTCTTCTCCAACGAATCCAACTTAAACCCTGATTCTGTCACATATCGTAGTGCATAATACGCTTCGGCCAGATCACCATTCGAGAGCTCCTCAGGGGACTTGCTCGTATTCTCAGTTAGACTTAGTATAGCATTCAAATATGCTTTTCTCATATGCTGGTTCTTGGGACAGTGTTTTGATGCAAAGCCTGGATACTTTTCAAATAGACTGTTCACAGATTCTACCTGCAAGTAAAAAAGGGCAGATCAAGTATCAAGCAAATGAACTCAAGTGATTTAGAAGTACTTATCTTACTTGTAAAGGAGGAACTTGAAACCCATTGATATCAATGTTTCCCTCTGGTTCATCGAAATTATCGATAACTTCAAGAACATCTACTTCTGCAACAATCTTGACTTCTCCGTTTATCAGAAACCCATTATCTCTACTAGGAAACCGGGAACCCCAAAACATACTAAAACCCAATCTTGTGTTCTTTTCATCAAACCAGCCTTGTGAAACTGAAAGAAAGGAAAAAAAGATTTGTTCTCATCATCATTTACATCACTAAAGAAGACATGACTTGACCTATACTCCAGCATATAGGTTTTGTTCTTTCCGATTTTCCGCCTTATAAAAACAATCATTAAGTGGAGAGAGTAGAAACAATAACCTTGCATATGGGAGAGTTTTTCTTGAAATTGATTTACCATAGTCAAGGAAAATTTAGCGTGTCTTCTCCATCCGGAACACAAAGATTTAGAATCAGAAACACATAGATACAAATAGTAACATTTACTATAACTACATTCATCAAATCTCTTGGGATAAGTGACTAGATGGCTGCAGGCAAAAACAATATGTGTCATTTGCAACGACCAACCACAAATGTATATATATATATATATATATATATATATATATATCACTTGCAAACAAGTTATGTTCTTTACCATTTGCAACGCCCGGCCTGGAATGTATCAGAGTAAACTCTATCGGAATCCAAAGAGTTGAAATTCTTAATCACCCAAGTGAACTTCTTATCAGCTTGATGATTCCCCATTGATCTTGATGATGATGACTCCTAAACACACAAGTTTGTAACTCGAACAAGTTAATTAATCATATCAAGAAACAAAACCTCAATATAGACTAAGATATAAAGACTACACTATGAAACAACATAGTAACATGTTTTTTAAGAAAAACTTTATTTACAAGTTACCACTCTTGACAAGACGTACAGTCAAGGAAATGAAAGAGTAGAATGATAAGTTGGCAAGCTTGTGGGATCTCCAATCGATCAGAATCACAAGTTGTCTCTCTCTAAGAGTATGGTGTTACCAGATCCAGCACGATATAGACGACTTGTTGGCCGCCTTGTTTACTTGGCATCGACCCGACCAGATCTTTCTTATGCCATTCATATCTTGTCGCAGTTCATGCAAAAACCAAGAGAAGAGCACTGGTCTGCGGCTCTCAAAGTTGTCCGTTATTTGAAAGGAACGATTGGACAAGGGATTCTTCTCCGAGCCAATTCTCCACTCCACTTAACAGGTTGGTGTGACTCCGATCACGGCAGCTGTCCCTTATCTCACAAGTCATTAACAGGATGGATTGTTCAATTTGGTGATTCACCAATTTCATGGAAATCCAAGAAACAGAAAACAGTCTCACTATCTTCCGCAGAGGCTGAATACCGTGCAATGGGTGCTGTCACTAAAGAACTTCTATGGCTCAAATCGTTGATGTCTGAAATTGGTATTGATCATACTGCTCCAATGTCTCTTCGGTGTGATAGTCAAGCTGCATTGCACATTAGTGCTAATCCTGTTTTTCATGAAAGAACTAAATACATTGAAGTCGAGTGTCATTTCATTCGTGATTGCATCATTGCTGGCACCATCAAACCGTCCTACGTCCCAACATTGGATCAACTGGCCGATATTCTAACTAAAGCTTTGGGACGACGGGAGTTTCATGCTTTCTTGCGCAAGTTGGGCATTTAAAATTTGTACGCTCCAACTTGAGGGGGGGGGGGTATTAAGGCTAAACTTGATCCCCAAGTTGTGTAATTATCTTTTAGTTAGTTTTCCTTTTATTAGCTAAACTCTTCTTGTATAAATAGAGACCTTATGGTTATGTTAATAAGACACAGAAACAATTCACATATCTATTTGTCAGTTTTGAACCCTCAGAGACACGGACGATGTACTCACATAAGTGCAGCAACAGCTTTTAATGGCATGCAACTGTGTAGACGAGAGGAATGCGAATCGTTTCGACTCCTCATAAGTCATAGACTAGCTTATAGGGTTTGATAGGGCCTTAATGATAACAATATTTTTTTTCATCCCCAATATAAATAATTAATTGGGTTTTCTTGTCAAGGAAAAACTAGTTATTGCAAGACGAAAAATTTAGCTTTCCCAAAGTATTTTTAAGACAGTGGGAAAAAGGACATTCCCGAGAACAAGTGATGTCAGATGTATGTCTGTCTTTTTTTCCCTCTAACTAGGGTTGCCATGCGTGAATTGTAAGTTGAAGTAGAAGAAGAATATGAATATCTTTAAAATCATAAGAGTTTTTTAAATCTAAGAGATATGATATTTTGACTACCAATAATCCAATATACAGAGAAAAAATGAATTTGCATGCATGCCTGTGAAAATACCGGAAAGTGCAGTTGAAAGTACAATGAAGAATTGATGCAAGTTCTTTCTTTTTACATTTATGTTTAAAGAGTATATGGAGATGACAAGAGACACTTGAGTACAGAAATTGTAGAGAACTGAGAAGCTAAGGGACGCCTCAAGTTCAAAATCCGCAGTTTCTAGTTGCTTTTGAATCTGTTTTGATTCAAGAACCAATGGAAACAACAGAAGATTCGATGAATGTTACACTAATGTAGGATCTTGGACATTTCATTAGGTCTCATTTTAAAGCTGATTGTTTTGTTTCTACAGTGTACTACTTCATTTGAATCCGTCCTGACCAGACTCATACAATTTCCCATAGACCAAAAACCATAGTGAAACGCTTGTTCGTTTAGTACTAATGAAAATGATCTATATGATATTGAGTTGATTAAAAGAGAAAAACAGTTCTTTTTACCTATCGGAAAATAGCAGATTGGTCATCTAGAGTAAATTTACGCATATACTTAAGCATCTCTAGTTGCTGCAGTAAGCACATTCGAATATTTAGACATTTATCTTCAATGAAATTTTTCTTGTAAATAACCTAAGCTGACATTACCTGTTCTTGTAAATGTTGTTGTGCTTTCATTTTCTGTTCAAGCCAACTGGTCCAGGCTCAGCATAATCTAATCTCGTAAGAACATAACAATTCATTAAGAAACATAACTAAAGGAAACAACTTTCTGATGACACCGGTAGATGAGAGCGAGCTTACTTAGCGAGGAACTTGTGGAAAAGAACGAGTTCATTTAGTTTGACTATCTTTGTGAGCCAACTGTCACATTTCAGGCTTAAGAAACCAAGACATTTCTGATTACTTTTCCATCAAGAAACAAAGTGCAATACTGTATATAAAACAAAGCAAAACCTCAACAACAAAACAAGTTTAAAAGGACTCTGTTTCAAAACTAAGATGTATCAAACAAACAGACCAGGACACCAATTAGATCCCAACTCTTTAACTTTTCTAGTCATCAAGGTAAGAATTTAAGCAGAGCATCCATGTCTGCGCACTTCACCTTCAAGTCATTCGACTCTTCCTCAATTTCTTGCAACCGAGTTTCACCAGTCTCTTTCAGTGTCTTCTCCAACGAATCCAACTTAAACCCTGCTTCTGTCACATATCGTAGTGCAGAATACGCTTCGGCCAGATCACCATTCGAGAGCTCCTCAGGGGACTTGCTCGTAGTCTCAGTTAGACTTAGTATAGCATTCAAATATGCTTTTCTCAGATGCTGGTTCTTGGGACAGTGTTTTGATGCAAAGCCTGGATACTTTTCAAATAGTCTGTTCACAGATTCTACCTGCAAGTAAAAAAGGGCAGATCAAGTATCAAGCAAATGAACTCAAGTGATTTAGAAGTACTTATCTTACTTGTGAAGGAGGAACTTGAAACCCATTGATATCAATGTTTCCCTCTGGTTCATCGAAATTATCGATAACTTCAAGAACATCTACTTCTGCAACAATCTTGACTTCTCCGTTTATCAGAAACCCATTATCTCTACTAGGAAACCGGGAACCCCAAAACATACTAAAACCCAATCTTGTGTTCTTTTCATCAAACCAGCCTTGTGAAACTGAAAGAAAGGAAAAAAAGATTTGTTCTCATCATCATTTACATCACTAAAGAAGACATGACTTGACCTATACTCCAGCATATAGGTTTTGTTCTTTCCGATTTTCCGCCTTATAAAAACAATCATTAAGTGGAGAGAGTAGAAACAATAACCTTGCATATGGGAGAGTTTTTCTTGAAATTGATTTACCATAGTCAAGGAAAATTTAGCGTGTCTTCTCCATCCGGAATGCAAAGATTTAGAATCAGAAACACATAGATACAAAGAGTAACATTTACTATAACTACATTCATCAAATCTCTTGGGATAAGCGACTAGATGGCTGCAGGCAAAAACAATATGTGTCACTTGCAACGACCAACCACAAATATATATCACTTGCAAACAAGTTATGTTCTTTACCATTTGCAACGCCCGGCCTGGAATGTATCAGAGTAAACTCTATCGGAATCCAAAGAGTTGAAATTCTTAATCACCCAAGTGAACTTCTTATCAGCTTGATGATTCCCCATTGATTTCGTGTTAATGATATCAAAGAGAACGATACATATATAGGGATTGCCCAATGGTTTTAACCTAATAAGAAATAAAAGGAAATCTTCTAAATCTTCTAAAATTCTGTCAAGATTACACTATGTTGGAAACTGTTACCGAGAATTATCTTGGAGATGATTATCTTTAATTTACTACCAATATATACATCAAAAAATGGCTTCACTTGAAAATGCAGTTGAAAGTCAAATGAGGGAAGTTTTTTTTGTTTACATTTACTTTTAAAGAGTTTAGTATATGGAGATGACAAAAGAGAGAGAGAGAGACTTGAGTATAGAAATTGAAGTAGCTTGTGAGAATCGAGAAGCTATCTGCTTCCAAAAACAGGTGAAACTCTTCTTCTTCCAGCTTCCTCCATTTCCTCTCCTGACAAAAGCGACGCCTCCGGCTCAAAACCCGCATTTTCTAATTGCTTCTGAAGCTGTTTTAGTTCAAGAACAACGAATATTAGACTACTCTGGTCTCATATGAATCAGTCCTCACCAGACTCAGACAATTTATCATTTACAGGTAAGTAAGATAGACCAAAAGCTATAATGAAAAACTTGTTCTGTTCATGCAAATGGAAAATATTTTCATGGTAGTTGAAAAGTGTAAGAACAGTTATTATTTTTGTTTTGTTTACCTTTTGAAGGATAGCAGATTGATCATCCAGAGAGAATTTACGCATATACTTAAGCATCTCTAGTTGCTGCAGTAAGCACATTCGAATATTTAGACATTGACCTCGGAGAGATAGTTTTTTCTTATAGTAACCAAAGCTGATATTTACCTGTTCTTGTAATTGTTGTTGTGCTTTCATTTTCTGTTCAAATCCATCTGGTCCAAGCTCAGCTTCTTCACATGCCATCTCCTCCCTATTAAACAGTATAATTAGTCCCTCATATATATAGTAAACCTGCATATAAAACTTTCTGATAACATCGAGGAGAGCGGGCTTACTTTGCGAGAAACTTGTAGAAACCAATCATCAACTCTTTATCGTTTTCATATGCAGAGTTCAGCTTTCCCAAGCAGCCAATTCCAAATCCCGGGTCTGCTTTTATCGAATAAACCTTTCAGTAAGAAACATGTAATGGTGTGTATAAATCAAAACAACCAATAAAGGCTAAAGAGAAGTCTACCAATTCCCATCTCCAAGAATATCTCCTCTTGAATCGTGGTTGTTACCGCTACAGCTTCCTGCATTCGAACACAATGTAGCTTAAGTATGATTCCGCATGAAACTAGTCCCCTCAATTATCAATCTTTTCTAACGAAAACATAATTTTAGGATTTGAGAACTGAGAATTCACAGTTTTGACAAATATTTCTCTGAGGCATGTTGCTTGCCACAGAAACTAAACCAAAACCTCAATTATCCAACAAAACTTAATCTCATTCACAAACTTGTGAAATAATAAGTCACCCAGTTATATCAATTTGAAAACGACATTACTCTACCAACAACACTCTTAACTACAAAGCAAGCATTAATCACTAATAAACGCATAATCGAGAAATAATCACCTGTTTATCCTCCACAGCGTCGGAGATTCGTTTCTTCACATCTGAGGAAAAAAAAAACAAATTGCAATGAATCAATCAATCAATGAATAAAATGGAGTCAAAACCATAAAAAGAAAACACAATTACCAGACTGTGAAGTCAAGTAATCGAATCTATCAAATAGATAAACCATTTGCTCTTTCGTCAACATCCCAGAGCTTTGTAGCGACAACGCCATTGCCCCAAAAAAACAATCTCCGGAGCCAAAGAAAAAGTCACAAAGCTAAACAAAGTGGTAAATTGGGAATGCCACAAATATTATCAAAATGACGGAAATGCCCTTTACTTTCTTTTTTTCTTTCTGTCCATTAATATTACTTTTTTTTTTATATTCTTTGTCGGGTTTTGAAACTTTAACATCGGTTTATCTACTTAACATTTTTGAAGTACATTTTTGCTCAAAGCCAATCGGGTCGGGTTTTTTTAAAGATTTTGACCCGATTAGATTTTTTGACCCGACTCATCCTCCAATCAAAACTCTCCGATCCTTTTAAATTCAAATTTCCAAAAAAAAATCAACTATTTCGACTAAATATTCTCTTATAACTGCCCCGCAATAATCGTTAGCCATATAGTTATGATACTTACCTTAACCATTAGCATAGATTTCGGAGTATATCCTACTAATACAACTTACCAAAAAAAAAATCCACATAAAATCTCTCATTCATTTCGATTACACTATCAAGTAGATGTCAACTGCCTCTAACAAAAAAGATATGATCCTTATTTTCTCACAGTATATGCTATAACTCCAACTTCCCAAAACAAAAAATCCACATAATATCTCTCATTCATTTCGATTACACTATCAATTATTACTCAGACGATTTGGTATCTCAAGTATATGTCAACTGTCCCTAACCAAAAAGATATGATCCTTATTTGCTCACAGTATATGCCAATCAGAATATTTTTTCTGATATTCAAACCGTGGTAATCAAGATATGCGTGGATTCTATCACAAATCCTTAATTCCCTACCAAGTCACTATATATATTGAAACATTTCTATGCTATTCTTCACGCTTCACAATAGAAACACTAACACAGCTAAATACATACCAGATAATTGAAATGGCTGCCTCTTTTGCTTTCTTGAGAGACATCAGGCCTTACAAGACCTCCTGGCGTGTGCAAGTTAAGGTGCTTCACTCATGGCGCCAGTATACTAACCTCACAGGAGAAACACTAGAGTTAGTAGTGGCTGATGCACAGGTAACTATATGTCTACATATATAAAACTCCTAAAACTATCATATTGATACTTACTTAAATACAGTGATAGTTAATCATATGTCTTTTCTTTTGTTAACAGGGTATGAAGATTCATGCATCTATCAAGAAGGACTTAGTTAGCAAGTATGTGAACCATCTGCCTGTTAATGAGTGGAGGTTTATTGAGACCTTTGCTCTTAATCATGCATCTGGTCAATTCCGACCAACTGGACATCTCTATAAGATGTCCTTTGTCACTGGGACAACTGTCCTGCGATGTGATCCAGTCTCTGACTCCAGCTACCTGTCCTTGGCTACTTTCCCAAACATTCTGAATGGGGACTTAAATCCTTACATGTTGATTGGTAAGACATTTAAATATTTTAATTAAAGTTGCTATTACTATTTAGTGAATATTACTAACTAGATTGTTTGTTCTATTTAGATGTTATGGGACAGGTTGTTAACATCGGTGAGTTGGAAACTCTGGAAGCTAATAACAAGCCAACTACTAAGTTGGACTTTGAATTGCGTGATGAAAAGTAAGTCTTCATAATAAAAGTAAATGGCAGTAGATACTAATGTTATTATGTTTTTATTATTACTTTAGTATAACTGATAAATGATTTGTGTTAGTGATGAGCGACTGTCCTGTACCCTGTGGGGATCATTCGCTCAGCAAGTGTTTAATGCCTGCGATGCTGCTGATGGAGCCAGAGTCATCTGTCTTATCAGATTTGCCAAGATTAAGGCATACAAAGGTTTTTACCTTTAATCTTATTCACTTATTATCTATGAACCTCTCCTATATCTACAATCAGATATCTACTCTACAAAGGAACTTTGTTCTAAACCTTTCTTTTCAGGAGTGAGAAGTATATCTAACTCTTTTGATGCTACTCAAGTTCTCATCAATCCACCTATCCCAGAGGTTGCAGCTTTTCTAACAGCGTAAGAGTTTTCAACAGATTAGTGTACTTAAGTTACTGAACAAAAAACTGTTCTGTTCTGATTCAACTAACTATGTTTTACAGTTTACCTGCTGACGGTCTTGCCCTTACATTCCGTGAGAGTGTGCCCAAGTTTCAAATGGTGACAGTGGCAAAGGATGATTCCTATCTCCAGTATGAGAGGAAGACAATTTCAGAGCTATTGAGTTCTATGGAGGTTATATTACTTTATCTGATTTATATCTTAAATTTAGAATTATTCCTGATTTTAACTGGTGTATGTTGTCTTTGCAGATTGGTAAAGTTAGGGTTGTTTGTACAATCTATGGAATTGACACTGACTGGGCATGGTATTACTTTAGTTGCCGTAATTGCAACAAAAAGGTAACACACATACATTCTGGTATTAATTCCGGTTCATTGAAGAAGCCAAAACCTAGATTCTGGTGTGATGTCTGCAAGAATGCTGTCACAAATGTTGTTGCAAAGTATGTAAATTCTGTGTTCCCCAACTGTCTGAATTGTACAATCTGTACAGTTTGATAGTTTCCTAATTATCTATTATACCATGCAGGTACATGCTTTATGCTAAAGTGATGGACAACACAAGTGAAACAAAATGCCTTCTGTTTGATAGTATATGTGCAGACATTGTTGGTGAATCTGCAGCAACTGTGTTAGGTGGATCGTTTAATGAGGTAACTATTTGAATCTGTTGACATGAGATTAGGCTTGAACACCACCTGTTTCTAATGTTTTAAAAATATTCTATTTAACACTACTAGATTGAGGATCCAGAAGACCTGCCAGATGTGGTTCAGAATTTGAAAGGGAAGACTTTCCTTTTTCTTCTCTGTGTTGAGAAAGAAAACATTTGGGATGGGAAAGATTGTTACAAAGTTTCCAGGGTGCTGTCTAAACACGGTCTCTTAGGAGATGAGGCCCCAGAAGATTCAGATCAGTTGGTCAATCCTGCATCAATTGTTTCTGGAGACCAGGTAATAGTTTCTTTTATTCCCTACTAAAGTATGCATCATTATATTTCCACTCATTACTAACCAACTTACTATGAAATGCAGCCACTGTTGTTGACAATGAGTCAGGATACTTCAGAGTCAGTTACTCCATCGTCTAAACGTGTTTATGCCCTAAACATCTCTGAAACTGATCAAGCCTCAAGTTCTAAGAAGGTTTGTATTCAGCCTGTGGACTTGGTTAAGTCCTCACCAGAGTTTAGATTTGAGGTTGAGTCTGGAAAGAAGGATGATGAACATGGTGCTGGAGATGTTAAGGATGGTGTGATCAAAGGTGAAGGTGTTAAGATTGATGATGGTGTATCTGTCCATGGACAGAAGGTGGAGGTCAAGCCGGTGGAAAAGTTGATGAGTGTCAAGATCAAGAGGGAGATCAAGAAGGAAAAGAAGTGATCTCATGATCAGTGAAATGGGAGTGTCGGTTTTAGTCATGTTTTCTTATTGTTTTCCCCTTTGATCTTTCTATTTTCATTTAGTTTAATCAGTTGTTTCCCTTTAGTTATTTAAGTTTCCCAATGAACTTAGTATTTTCGTTATTTCCATTCAATAATAAGTAAACTTTTCATTTTTTATTATATGTGTCTATCTAATTCGGAAACTCTATATACATGGTAATGTGTATGTACCTGTTTAAATGCTGACTCTTTAACAGAAGTAAATGCTCCATAGTATATATTGTTAAGTATAGGATCTTACTGCCTGCAAACATAGAGTGAAATATATATGTACAATATTTATACCTGTATATGATAATCTACTAAAAAACATATATATAAACTATAGATAATATTATTTATAATCCAAATTAAAGTAATCATTACATAGAGCTGCACAGCTGATAGAAGACGTGAGCAGATAAATCTGACTTTGAATCTCTTTACCATTTATCAAATATGCATCGAAACAAGTAACTATCCAAAAATGAATAATTACAATCATTGCTATACTTTTATGATTATTATTTGATTTCCTTATCTCTAACGATTCAATTTCCTCTCTTTATTATAACTTACTTAACATATATTAAGTCGGTTATTTGATTTTCAATATCTTTTTCCATTTTTTTCGTGCCTGCTAGATCTATACACGAAATCCCTTCTATATTCTTTATATATCATGACATAACCTCTAGGTTTCCCACAGTGCACCATCTTTCTATCTTAAAACCTCTCCAAAGTTAACTCTGCAAAACATCCAATGGGTACTATTGACTACATTTCTGATCTAAACCTTCAGAGGCCTAGATGGACTTTGTACGTGAAGATTTTGTCTATCTGGAATCAAGGCATCGACGCTTTTGCAGAACCAACAAAAATGATACTCGCCGATGAAAAGGTATATTATTTTCAGAGTTATTCTTTTGCATTATTCTGTGGATAACTATTTTTGTATTTCTTCTTATATGTCTAGGCCAATATGATTGATGCATTTATTCCTCCTGGAAATTACTTATACAATTTTCGTCAAGGTCTCAAGGAGGGTCAGTGGTACTACATGGCTGACTTCCATGTTGTACCATCTGCTAACCCTGTTAAATACGCTAGGAATCGTTTTGCACTACAGTATATATGGCCTACAACTATGTGGCCTGTTAGTCCTAGATCAAATAGCAATTTCTTCAACTTCATTCATTCTGATGAAGTTGAGTATGCTGGTGCTCAAGATAAAGAATATGTTACAGGTTATGTTGTAATACAGAATTCTCTTTCAGAATAACTGTAACATTGCTTCAGATTTAATTCAATAACTGTTATGTCTTCCCTATCAGATGCTATTGGTGTGATCTCTAAAGTCTCTGCTATTCAAAGATTCCCATTTGTTTGTCGTGAAGGCGAGACAGACTATGAATCCAGATATGTTCTTTTCGAAATCAAAGATGACATGTAAGTTTACTTCACCTCTATATATCAAATCAAGAACTGTTGTAATAATCATCTATTTAATTCTTTCCAAATTTAATCATTTAGGGGCAGGGTTACAAACTGTGTTGCTGTGGGTAGGTCCTGTCAGTTGCTTGTGACTAAATGGTTTAGGCACATAACTTCTGTCACTTACAATTATGACCCAGTAGTCATTGTGTTGCGTTTCTGGAGAGTTTCAGATTTCGAAGGTGAGTTTCACCCTATGTAATGTGCTATATTATTGTTCTTATTAAAAACCATACATAATTAGACTGATTATAATCAAAATGTTTTTGTTTAGGCAAGAACTGTCTAATGAGTGAGTATGGTAGTTCAAGGATTTTTCTTGATCAAACTTTCCTAGATGTTGACATCCCGAGATACATGTAAGTATATTCATCTGGAATCAACTAAGGAATTGAATATATTGAAGTCTGAATTCATTATTGTGATTCTTTAATTTTTTCAGCCGTTGCTGGACAGATGGACAAACTGATAAGAAGGATGTGGCAATGGAGTTGGATCAATTGAACTAAATGGCAATTTGGTTTGAAGAATGTTTTTTGTTTATCTTAGTGTTGTGGAAGCTACTTTTAATTTTATCTATGGTTTTATTATATAAACTTCCTTTTGTGTTTAGTTTCTTTTTACTTCATGTTCAATTGACTCAAAACTACTTATTTTTCATTAAGTTAATGGTTATCGACTTTTTATATTCCAACAAACAGTTAACTGTTAGTTTCTGTTGTGTTTAGTAGATGTTGTGTTGATAACTAAGTGTATGGTTAATCTACTATTTATTGTTCAATTCTGTTTGTTCTATATCAAGAAGTATACAATATATGATCAACTCTACTTATCATAAAAGGAAGTATTGCTCAGTGGTAAATCGTTTTCTTTATATGATATAACTTAGACATTTTATCATTAGTTTGGTCTAATTGTACTATCCAGAAATCTACTTTGGAGGATAGTGTTTTACCTTTAACGCTATGTAGTTAATGCTGAATTTGAAGAATCCATGGCATATCTGTTTCCAATCTCCTGTTGGTACAAACAATATACAATTTCCTTAGTTATCTCGATAACACTATATATGCAGAAATTTGTTATTCAATCAGTATAATACTATCAATTCAAATATATGTGATCAAAATTAGATAACCATTAAAGATAATATATCCTGTTCCTATATATACTCCAACCGACTCTAAAGGAAATGTGAATATCATTTGTGATAGAGAATTAATAATATATATGACCATGACCATTTAAATCCTAACACCAGATTTATTTTTGCTTAGAGAGTTCTAGCAATTGTTCCAAACAGGAATAATGAGTAAAAAAACAGCACCTAACAATGAAAACATAGAGTTCTATTCCACCCCACCTAAAAGATGGCGGAGGAATGAGGCAATCAATACTAGCAGAAGTATTCCACGTTCTAATACACCTGTCTCTAATGGTTCTGTCCCTCTACGTTCTGCATTCAATACTGTTTTGCAAGATATTACTAACCTTTCATCAACTCCTGTTATACCAACTGTTATGTCTGAGGATCCACCAACGGTTAGGTCTGCACTAAAGAAGACAATAGTAAGAGGTAGGCATTAAACATTTTATGTCATTCACAAGTTTTTTTACATAACTGTACAAAGTGCAATCATTGACTTGATAGAGTAAAGTAGTACCAATTTTCTGGAATTGATACAGGTACACCCTGTGGAAGCCACTTAACTTCTGTCTCTCCCATAAGCATTTTATCTACTTCAGTATCCACTCCATTAGGACTTAGGGATATGACCCTAGGTACTGCTCAAACTCCTCTTATGCCACCACCCTCTGAAACAAGACCAAGACAAGGTTAATTATTTGATTTTTTTAGATAAGGATACTTTGTTATTTACTTGCTATCATTTTTACAATCTATTTTCTTTCAGGGAACCAATGTTTTGGTAGTTCTTCATGTATAACTACCAAGCAACCATCGAGATTAATTTCTCAGACAACAAACTTGCCCAGAAAAAATCTTCATTCAGACTTTACAGATGCAGGATCATCTTCTTATCATAAAGGTAATATTTGTACCCTTAGTTTTCGACCGATATTCTACATTCATTAACTGAATAATGAACTTTTTTACAATTATATCTCCTATAGGACACTCTGCTACAGAAACTAATGATACAGACTTCATGGAGAATAGCAGTGATGAGGAGATGTATGATGCAAATTACTCTGTTGATTTGAGTGAAGATGAAGCAGTGGTGCAAAATTATGACCATAGTAGCAGTGAGGATGAAAGTTCAGTTATACATATTCAGACAATGGACGCAGATGCAAACATTGATGTTTCATCAGAACCTATTCACACTGTAGAATCAAGAAATGATCCCAATCAGCATCAAACACAACAAACAGATAGTCAAACAAAAAAAAAACACGTGTCAAGGCTAGAAAGAACATGAAATTAAGTATGTCTGAGTTAATTATTGTACTTTGACAAATAATATGGTTATCTGATATCTGCTAACCATATATTATCTCTTTTGTTTTCAGCTTATCTTGATCATGGAGATCCTACTTACCAGTGTAAGTATTGTGGTGCTTTAATGTGGTATGCTGAGCGTATAAACAAAAGACGTAATCAAAAGGATCCTACTTTTACACTCTGTTGTGGTCAGGGTTCTGTTAAATTACCTTTTCTTAAAGAGTCACCAGATTTAATCAAGAAACTTCTTACTGGTAATGATGCACAGAGTAGAAATTACAGAAAGCATGCCAGGATCTTTAATATGGTCTTTGCAATGACCTCACTTGGTGGAAAAGTTGATAAATCTATACCGAAAGGTCACGGACCTAGCATGTTTCGAATGCAAGGAGGTAACTATCATTTGATTGGCAGTTTAAAGCCTGCAGTTGGTGACTATGCTAAGTATTCACAGTTATATATTGTTGACACTGAAAATGAAGTAGAAAACAGAGCAACTGTTATCGGGTATTAATTTCTAAGACTTTTAACTTTTTTGGATTTACTGCTTCTGTTGTTCTGTTATCTTTTCACTTAAAACTCTTTCATTACTTCCTGTTTTGTAGAAAGGGCAAGGAATCCAACCAAGGTGGAGGTAAACAGAATCTGAACAAGGAAACAATCGAAGCCATTATGAAGATGCTCAATCTCTGCAATCCTTATGTCAAGAATTTCCGAATTGCGAAGGAAAGATTTAAAGATATTAACTGCCAGCCATTTCATATGAGGATATGCTCTGGTCGTAAGGGTGTAGATGGAAGGACTTACAGCATGCCTACTACATCAGAGGTTGCAGCTTTAATACCAGGAGATTTTACAGATGATATGCCAAATCGTGATATAGTTATTGAAGAAAGAACTACAGGTCACCTCAAAAGGATTAACCAGATTCACATTTCTTATCTAGCTCTACAATATCCTCTGATTTTCTGCTATGGTGAAGATGGATATAGGCCTGGTATCGAGAAGTGTTATAAAGGGAATGTCACTAACAATAAGAAGAAGAAGTGTATTAGTATGCGTCAGTGGTTTGCTTTTCGCATTCAAGAGAGGCCTGGTGAGTGCCATACTCTGCTACTATCTAAGAGGTTGTTTCAGCAGTTTCTTTGTGACGCTTACACAACTATTGAATCTAATCGGCTATGCTACATAAGGTTCAATCAGTCTAAGCTCAGATGTGAGAACTACAGCTCCATCAAAGAAGTTGCTGACTCTGGTGTAAAAAATATGGAAGATGAAGGCAATCAAATCTTGATTCCAGCCTCATTCACTGGTGGACCTAGGTATATGGTGCAAAGTTACTATGATGCTATGGCCATATGTAAACATTACGGTTTCCCAGATTTATTCATCACATTTACATGCAACCCTAAGTGGCCTGAGATTACCAGATACGTTACAGAGAGAGGGTTAACAGCTGAAGATCGGCCAGACATTGTTGCTAGGATTTTCAAAATCAAGTTGGATTCCCTAATGAATGATCTAACAGAAAAGAAAATGCTTGGGAAGACCGTTGCCTGTAAGTTTTCTTCATTTTGATAATTCAGTGGATTAGGTGAAAGATAACATATTGAAAATGATGTGTGTATTTTTTTTTTTCAGCTATGTATACAGTCGAATTTCAGAAAAGAGGCCTTCCCCATGCTCACATTCTTTTATTCATGGATGCTAAAAGTAAACTTCCAACAGCTGCTGATATTGACAAGATGATTTCTGCTGAGATTCCAGATAAGGAGACAGAACCAGAGCTGTATGAGGTTATTAAAAATTCAATGATTCATGGTCCATGTGGTGCAGCAAATATGAATTCTCCGTGTATGGTCGATGGACAGTGTTCAAAACAGTATCCTAAGAAATATGAGGAAATCACAAAGGTTGGGGCTGATGGTTTTCCTGTGTATAGGAGAAGACGCTCTGATAACTATGTTGAGAAATGTGGTATTCAATGTGACAATAGGTATGTTGTCCCTTACAATAAGAAGCTATCTGTTAGATATGGTGCTCACATCAATGTTGAATGGTGTAATCAAACCGGCTCTATTAAATACTTATTCAAGTATATTAATAAAGGTCCAGATAAAATGGCATTTGTTGTTGAGCCTGATAAACCGCCAACGACAGAACAAGGTTCAAATATAGATGGAAGCTCCGTTACTCATGAATCATTACCAGAGGAGAAAAAAAAGAATGAAATAAAAGATTATTTCGATTGCAGGTAAATTGAGTAATGTGACTTCTGTTTTACTTATTTTTATTCTATAGTCATATACTTAACATCTTAAGATTAATGATACCGTGTAAAAACTGCAGATATGTTTCTGCATCAGAGGCTATTTGGAGGATATATAAGTTTCCAATCCAGCATAAATCAACACCTGTTCAGAAGCTGTCTTTCCATGTTGAAGGGAAGCAACCAGCTTATTTTAAAGGGAAGGAGGATATAACAGAAGTATTAGAAAGAATTATCAATCAGGATTCCATGTTCATGGCCTGGCTGACATTGAATAGGCTAAATGCTATTGGAAAGAATGGAAAGCGTGCTCGAGAGCTCTTATATGCAGAAATCCCTGCATATTTTACTTGGGATGGGAATAATAAGCAGTGGAACAAGATGTCTAGAGGGTTCTCCTTGGGTCGTATTAATTATGTTCCAAGGAAGCTAGAAGATGAATACTTTCTAAGAGTCCTCCTTAACATAGTCAGGGGTCCAACATGTTTTGCTGATATAAAAACATACAAGGGTGTTGTCTATGCAACTTACAAAGAAGCATGTTTTGCTCGTGGAATCCTAGATGATGACCAGGTATACATAGACAGTTTGGTGGATGCCAGTCAGTTTTGTTTTGGTGATTGGTTGAGGAATTTTTTCGCTATGTTGCTACTGTCTACTTCTCTTTCTAGACCAGAATATGTTTGGGAACAGGTATGGCCTTTGTTAGCTGAAGATATGCAACAGAAGAAGAGGGACGAGTTCAACAATCAAGGTTAATTCAGATATTAATTCCTGTGCCTAGATTTAATTACCTTTTTGATTAGTTCTATTTATATGGAAATCCGTTGATGTTAAATCAATCTTTTTGCAATATATGCAGAGCTGAATCTTACAGAAGCAGAAATCAAAAACTACACTCTTCAAGAACTGGAGAAAATTTTGTTGTTTAATGGAGGTACTCTTACAGATATACAAAACTTTCCCCGCCCAACTAGAGAAGGTATTGATAATTCTAATCGTTTGATCGTTGATGAGATGCGATATGACCGTCAGGATTTGACTGAAAAACATGCGGAATGGATAGAGATGTTAACACCAGAGCAGAGAGGTGTTTATGATGAAATTACTGGTGCTGTTTTCAATGAACTAGGTGGAGTTTTTTTTGTTTATGGATTTGGAGGTACAGGAAAAACGTTTATTTGGAAAACACTTTCAGCTGCTATTAGATCTAGAGGAGATATAGTTCTTAACGTGGCTTCCAGTGGAATCGCTTCATTGCTGTTGGAAGGTGGTAGGACTGCGCATTCAAGGTTTGCCATACCACTTACCCCCGATGAGTATTCAGTGTGCAAAATACCTAAGAAGTCTGACCTTGCAGATCTAATAAGGAAAGCTAAACTTATTATATGGGATGAAGCACCTATGATGAGCAAGTGGTGTTTTGAATCTCTAGACAAAAGTTTCTGTGATATAATTGGTAATATAGATAGCAAAGTGTTTGGTGGAAAGGTTGTTGTTTTTGGAGGTGATTTTAGACAAGTTCTTCCTGTAATCACTGGTGCTGGCAGAGCTGAAATTGTCATGGCAGCCCTAAATGCTTCTTATCTTTGGGATCACTGTAAGGTACTAAAGCTCACTAAGAACATGCGGCTACTAAAAAACGATTTGAGTGTAGAAGAAGCTAAAGACATTAAAGAATTCTCAGATTGGCTTTTAGCTGTTGGTGATGGTAGAATTTCAGAGCCAAATGACGGTGAGGCTCTAATTGATATACCTGAAGAACTGCTAATTACTGAAGCAGATAATCCCATTGAATCCATTACTCTAGAGATTTATGGAGATCCAGCAAAGCTAAAAGAAAAGGATGCTAAGTTCTTCCAAAAGAGAGCCATTCTAGCACCAACAAATGAAGATGTCAACACAATCAACCAGTATTTGTTGGAGAAGTTGGATGGTAAGTAAATACTTCTGATATATCTAACTTATCTCCTTTTAAGTAAATCGCAGATCTAATTTATTAAGTATCTCTGTTCTTTCCTACAGGCGATGCAATGTTATTTCTCAGTGCTGATAGTATAGATCCTGAAGACTCCGATTCACTTAGAAATCCTGTCATCACACCAGATTTTTTAAACAGTATCAGGTTATCAGGTTTGCCTCACCATGCGTTAAGTTTAAAGATTGGTGCTCCAATCATGCTGCTTCGGAATATTGATCCTAAAGGAGGTCTATGCAATGGTACTAGGCTTCAAGTTACTCAGATGAGCCCGCGTGTTCTTCAAGCAAAAGTCATAACAGGAGACAGAATTGGTGATATTGTTTTGATTCCATTAATCGTCATTACACCGTCAGATACAAAACTACCTTTCCGGATGCGTAGAAGACAGTTCCCAGTATCACTGGCTTTTGCTATGACCATTAACAAGAGTCAGGGTCAATCTCTAGAAAGAGTTGGACTCTATTTGCCTAAGCCAGTGTTTTCTCATGGCCAACTCTATGTCGCTTTATCTAGGGTTACTTCTAAAAAAGGTTTGAAAATTCTTATCCTGGACAAAGAAGGTAAGATTCAAAAGCAAACAACAAACGTTGTTTTCAAAGAGGTTTTCCAGAATATCGATTGATAATTCTGCGGCAATGAAATTTCAAACAGGATTATCATAAAAGGTATGTTTACTTTACCTTGGGATCAATATGTTTGCTTTATGGTTAGCAAAACCCACACTTATTTGGACTTATATTTCACTTGCAATCTATTTACCATTTTCTAACATATTGATTATCATCAAATTGAGAGAATAAAGGTTTTAAGTCTATGATTAAGAAAGTAGGAGCTAATTGTTACGATTTGTTTTACTTCCTTAAACTCTCAGATTTTGTGTTGTTCAGTGTCAACAGTTATATATATCTAATTAACATGCATCAACAAACAACCATTAAGTAACAATTATAGAATTTCCTCTTCAATCTACTTAACATTTCATAAACTTCTATATGCAAAACGGAACTAAGTTAACTACCAATTACATCATACTGAAAACTAACCTCAATATATTGTTAGAACATATCGCAGCTTCTCTTGAGCAATGATCCCATATCTTCATATAAAATATTCACACTGTTAGAAATCAGACAAATTCATTGAAGTCTTATTCAACGTTTACAGATTCAACCAAAAAACGTGATCAGTTGACACCAACAAAGTGCCAATACTAATGAAGCAAGTAAGAAGAACATAGATACCTCAGGAACAATCCTGTTCAAGAAAGTCTCAGTATCAGCCTGAACATCTGGATCATAATTCTCATTGATTGTCAAAGAAGCACTCGTGTGTTGCACTGAAACCAAAAAAAAAACATTTACTTAATCAAGAATTCCAAAAAAAAAAAAACAGAGAAGAAGCAGAGTAAGAAAGAAAACTCACAGAAGACATGAGCAAGACCACAATTGAAATCTGACAAGTCTTGCCCAATTTCCTTCACTATCTGTTTTCAAAACAAAACAAAACCTCAGAAACCCAAATTGAATTCACAAACCAATCAAATAAACAGCTGAAAAAAGCTCATAAATTGAGTCAATTCATAAATCGCTTCGAATTGAAACAAAAGCATCTACACGAAAGATGAAACCTTTGGAGTAATAAGATGACATCCACGACGTGGCCGTGGAAGTGTGATGGTTTTCTGAGCCCGCGGAGAATTCAACCAAATTCATTGAAATCAGACAAATTCATTGAAGTCTTATTCAACGTTTACAGATTCAGATATGGTAGAAAACATGGCATGACAAACATTTGAATTGCAAACATCAGATTAGATCTTCAAATATATAATTTGCTGTCTACGCACACATGTTCCAATTTACAAACTATCGAAAAACTAACAACTTTTGTCAATCGAAAATGAAGAAATCGATGATATATGTTATAATTCTGGAATTAGAATAACTTACATATTTATTTTTCGAAAGGAAATTGTCTTCTAGAACTCGATCATCCGATGCAGCTACAAATTAGATGTCAACTTGAATGATGAATTGGTTTTTAATTTCTGAAATTGGTTAGGAAATGGTGAGTTGAAGAAGCTCAATCAGTCGGTGGAGAAGATGCTCAACGACACGCAATTGTCATTTTTTTTTCCATCCAATTGTTTTTTTTTCCTTCTCTGGAATATATTGGGCTGCACTCTATTTTCAGTAGATGGGCTTCAGTTAAAATTGTTGGGCTTCTAATGTATTTGAGATTTTGCTTTTTATTATATAGTTAATTTGTGTATTTAATATTTTAATTATGGTTTTACTATTAAAATTAGATGATATAAACTTATTTATATGATCTTATATAAAACAAAATTTAAATATTTTCATACATATATATATATATGTCTATATTTCCAATCTATAAAACACAAAACAATAAATTTATATAAATCTAATATTTCGAAATTATATTAAGTAAATAATTTTAATGTGTCCTAATACTTTTAACAGAAATAACCATATTTAATTACATATTCTTTGTTTATACTGTATCAACTAAAAATATACATTACTGACGGTTGACCGAATTATACTGTTTATATAAAAGATGTTAACTTATGTACGCCATGAGGTTATTATACCTATTAATATAATAAACTTACAACTCACAAGAAATCATCACAAACGTTCTAATAAATTATCTAACAACACAAAAACATAAAAAATTATACACCACCAATACTTAATTTAATAAAAAAAGTCAATTAATATAATATTAAACCCGCGGTATACCGCGGGTCATATCCTAGTTAACAAGAATAAACCCTAAATCATAGAGATTAAGCTGAGAAAAGATTAGAAAAAAAAGCTAATTATCATTCATTAAATAAAAACCAAGATAATACACGGTAATAATACAAGGGTAGAATCGTATTATAATATTAAAACACTTTAAAAATCTTCGTCGAGAGAAAAGACATGATTATCAAACGCACCGTTACCATTAACGCTAGACATAACGGAAGCTTTCTGATAATCACCAACACGTTTCTCAAAAAAATTAGTTTTTCCTTGAAGCGAGATAAGTTCCATCCAATCAAACGGATTTGTAACACCGTACACCTTCCCGTACCCAAGCGCACCCAAAAGCCTATCCGCAACAAACTCAATATACTGACTCATCAAATCACGGTTCATCCCAACCAACGCGCACGGAAGCGCGTCGCACACAAACTCTCTCTCGATTTCGACCGCGTCGCAGACGATTGACTTCACGCGTTCTTCACTAAGCTTCGTTTTGAGAAGTGTGTAGAGAAGGCAAGCGAAATCGCAGTGTAGTCCTTCGTCACGTGAGATCAATTCGTTGGAAAATGTTAGTCCAGGCATGAGTCCTCGTTTCTTTAGCCAGAAGATTGAACAAAAGCTTCCGGAGAAGAAGATACCTTCAACACAAGGTCAAAATCGTCAATAAATAGATAACCACGGAATAAGATAAGGGTAAAATCGTAATTTAATAACACTCTAACTAAAACCAGTGTCTTCAAATAAGGGTAAAATCGTAATTTTCCGTTTTACTACGAGGAAGATAATTTTATACTCGAAAAATTAAAAGGGTAAAATCGTAAATCAACATACCTTCGACGCAAGCGAAAGCGATGATTCGTTCGGCGAAAGTTTGAGATCCATCGATCCATTTCATCGCCCACTGAGCTTTCTTCGCGACGCAAGGAATCGTTTCAATGGCACGAAAGAGATGATCTCTCTCTTTGTTATCTTTGATATAAGTATCGAGAAGGAGACTATACATCTCCGAGTGGATATTTTCAATCGCGATCTGGAAACCGTAGAAAGCACGCGCCTCCGAGACTTGAACATCGGACATGAATCGAGAAGCGAGATTCTCTAATACGATTCCGTCAGATGCGGCGAAGAAAGCGAGGACATGTTTGATGAAGTGACGTTCACCGTCGTTGAGATTGTTTTCCCAGTCGCGGTTGTCCTGTGATAGATCTACTTCTTCAGCGGTCCAGAAGGATGCTTCGGCTTTTTTGTACATTTCCCAGATCTGTGGGTAGTGAATTGGGAACATACAGAATCTGTCTGGGGTTGGTGTTAGAAGTGGCTCTTCTGGCATTGAAGGCATCTTTGAAGATTTGATTGAAGAAGAGAAGTGATTGAAGAGATGATTTGATTGATGAATTATGAGATCTAGGGATGAGAATTTATACTGGAGATTAGAGGGTTTTTGGGGGTTTTTGAATTTTTGTCGAGGAGACGGAAATAAGAGGAGGGAAAATATTAAAAAGGTTTGAAATTTGTTGGTTTTCGAGAAGCTTGTTGGAGAATTTTTATCAAAGAAAAAAGCTTGTTGAGGAAGATGAAGGGTATAATGGGAAATGTACACTAAAAGTTAGCCTTGGAAGCGAGGGAAATGATAAAGTTTGGCGATAATTTTGCCGGTTAATTTGTAAAGGTAAAAGACATTTACTGAAACTCGAAACTCTTGGTGGGGACGCGAATGTATGTGGTTCTCGGGTGTTATGGTGTGAGGTACACGCGCGTTCGTGTGATATGATGTGAGAAACACGTGCTTTAAGTTAAAGGCCCATTAACGAGTCCAATGGACTTTTTTTTAAATCGGATCAGCATATAATGATGTTATCGGGTTAGGCATTTGAAAATAAGAAAACCGAAATCGAACCAAGTTTTATATTAATCAGAATGAAAATTTTTAATACCGAATAAACCAAATAAAATTCAAACTAAACCCGTATTGATACAACTGAAGCGACTAAACCAAATCAAATTCAAATATATACAATTAACTGAATTAAGAAATAAAAAAAAACATTTACAACTATGGTTATAATTGTTTCCCATTATAGCCTTTTCCTCCTATAGTTAATTTGGTCTTACATATTTCTATTTATTTTCAACTCATGCATCAAAATCCTTATAAAATATTTATAATTTTAAATACTTTGAAAAAGAATCATGTCTCTTATGCATAGTCTAAAAATATTGACAGAAAGAAATAATGAATAAGAAATTGTTTAATTTAAAACCTTACATCATTTAACTGACAATAACTTTGTTTCAATTTACTTAATAAAAAAAGAAAAAAAGAAGTGAATCTATGATATATAGAAAAATATAAAAGTAAACGCCTCCCTTTTAGTATCAAAGAAAAAAAAAAAAAAAAAACTGAGTCAATATAAAAGAAAAAACAGATACACAAAAGAGAAAATGGCAAAATTTGTGTTAGGTGTTATTGTAGGTGCAGGTGGATTGTGGAAGTTAATGGGTACTTTTAATGGCGAAACTTCGTCAAAAGCTATTAGTCAAATAGAACAAAGTAATAGTTCTATAAGCATGGGATGGATTATACTAATATTCATAGGACTTGTGGGGTTAGTGTTATTGAACATGAACGCTCAAAAAATTCGACATAAAGCCGAAGAACAAGCTCCTGTGTTTGTGATTGCAGGAATCTTCTTATTTCTTATTCTCATCCTTCATCTCAAAGGTGTATTTTAATTTCTCTAAGTGTTTTTTTATCATAAGCAATTTAGTTATATGAAGCTTATATCATACGTAGTTTAGTATGGTAAATTGGTAACATGTCCTTCAAAATCATGTTTTTGGATACCAAAAGACGAACAATTTGTTTTTTTTTAATAAACAAGTACTAGTAGTACAACTGAGAATCTGCTTCGATGGTTGAGTCTGAAAATCTCACACAACAAGCTCGAACTTGTCAAAACCTTAAAAATTGAAAAACTCTATCAAAGTCTCATACTGAGTCTCCACTGCTTAACGAGGAGGAGATACAGGCACATTAGCTTTCGCGAAACTGATCCAAGTAACAACACCAATGGCTAGAATCACCCAACCCATAGCATCATACTTCGCGTCGCTACTTTTCTTATTCTTCACTGCCTGTGTTTGGAAAAATACATCAAAATATGATCATGAGATTCAAACCCATCTTCTTATATTAGCTACGAGTCTAATGCATCAATCAACTATTGAAAATGAAATTTGATTATGAGAAAGAACTCAAAAGAGAGAACCTTTGAGCTCGGCGGTGCTGAAGGTTCAACACCACCCATTGGTTGTGAGCCTAAGCCATGTTTGTGAACGTCTGCGTGCAGTTGTGGAGCCTGTGCTTAGCATAGGAGAGAAGAAATTAGATTAAATAACTAAACTTGAGATTAGGTTTATAGGTATAATGCACACTTAAAATGCAATATTTCCATCCTATCAAATCAACAAATCGATCTGTAGAGAAGAAATTCGATTAAAGAATATAACTTTGAGATTGGGTTTAGAGGCAAAATGAATATGAACATAACTGGCTGATGGTTTCTATCGTATATGTAAAAAAGATTCGATCTATAGCGAAGTACCTTGGCCGTCATTTCGAGTGATTTCAGGTAGTGCTGATTATCTGGTTGCTGCAAAGATCAAAAACACGTATTTAACATCACAGATTTCAAAACCACAACGCAAAAAGATGTGTATCAACATTGATTCTAAATGGAAAGCAAAATAACCTCATTCACAGCTTGTTGAAAGAACTTAGTAGCCAAGTCAAAATTATATTTAGCTTCAGTCTCATCTGGAGTCAAAAACGCAAATGAAGTGTATGCATTACCGATACACCAAACCGCTTCATCTTTCTTTGGGTCAATTAACAATGCTTCTTCGAACTTTGTGATGGCATCTACACACACAAACATCAAACTGTAATCAATCCAACTTTCAGAGCAGGTTGCCATCATAGTTAGATCCCTAAGTATCATAAACTAATTGATATCATTATCGAGTTTTGCTCTATACCAAAACCTATTTTTGGCAAGTGTGAAGAACGCTGAAACTAGAATCCTAAGGACTAATGATTATGATTACGAAACACTAACAACCAAGTTCATGTAATCATATGGAAGCAAAGAGACCTAAAGAGGAATAAGATTCTTAAACCCAATTCAATCATATTAAAACAGAGTATAGCTTTAAAGAACCTTGAATCATTTGCTTTGAATCTGAGATGCTATGAAACTGAGCTAACTCAAGTAAAGATCCTCCCCATCTAGTCAAGTTCTGCAACAACAACAACAAAAAATCAAAAAAGAGTAGTTTTTTTATTTCCGCCATGGAAACACAAAGCAGAGATCAAACTCCAGAGGAGTCAATCGATCTAAAAGATTCGACTTTTCTCTACAAAGCAGATCGAACTAAAACGAAATCTGAAGTGTTAGAGAAAACTAACATCGGCATCTAAAGGGTTCAACTTGTAGGTCTCTTCTGCGTCTTTACGAATTTGTTCGAACAATAGTAACCTATCGAACTCAGCTTCCGTATCCATGGCTTCTCAAAGCTTTCTTCTTCCGTACAAAACTTACCTTTTCTTCTCTCTCTCAGACATTGAGGCACAGAGAAAGATCAGAAAAGCGGCTCCACGAAACGCAGCGTTTCGTAATGGGCTTATAATGGGCCCTTTATGTTACTTGTAAAAAGCCCAACGTCTTAATTTCATGTCGTTATGAGACTGTTCGCTTGTTTATATAGCAAACGTTATAAGCCCATCCAAATGACAAATTATCTTCCAAATATTTATCAGATTTTATTCTAAAAATAATTGTACAGTTTGTATGAGATAATATTAGGGCATATGCATCCATGTAACTTTGAAGATTGATCTTAGGTGTAAAATAATTTTAAAACATTCTAAGAGAGAAGAAAAAAAAAAGAAGGAAGAGAGGAAATTATGGAACCAATACTTTTCAGACACGTGGCTCATAATTTGTATTAGAACAGATCTTGCAGAAGATCGCAATTCAGGTTCGTCTTCTACTGTTTGAATTTTTTCAAATTTTTAATACCTAAGAACACTACTTGTGTTGCTGCGATACTTATGGTCTAATTGGAATAAAGTTTAAAATATATATTTATGAATGTTAGTCACAAGTGCTATGTGAGCTTGCAATGTGACTAATCTCACCTGCCACATGTAAAATCACAGATAGGAAACAATAATTTATTATGTTAGAAGAGGATAAGAGGTTTGCAAAAAAGGAAGAGCATCACATGAAAGAAGATTAAGATGTTCCCTTTTTTTGTTGTTCTTATTTTATTATTCTTTGAAGAAACAATTAAAGAAAGCCAAATTGTATAGTTAATAATAAACATGTCGAATTATACTGATATTTGTAACATAAACGCATGTAATTGGCTGAAAATTAGATACTACAACCAGCCTTATTTAGTTATTTTAAATATAGTATATCTTCTTCTACTATTAAGTAATGTATGTTCAGAATTAATGATGGTTAATCACCTATAGCTAGATGTTGCGACATAAATCTTTCATTTTCGTATCTTACAAAACCAGTTCTCCAGGTTTGAGATATTGGGGCACAAAATTCATCCTAGACATTTCAATTTCATAATTTGTCTTGCGTTTTTTAAAAATTTATTAATTTATATATAAAAATAAATTAAAGCCTTTGATGAAAAAGTGATATAATTAAATTTAGTAATAATGATTATCACATGTGACCCATGGTTTCCAAAAAGTAATATTTGCCGTGACATATTGCAATAATCGTTAATTTGGTTAGTATATTATTATGATTCTATTTCTACATTACTCGTTATTTTAGCACATTACTCAATTATTCGTATATGCTTCTTATGTCAACTTACAATGTAGCAACTAGGCACATTCATTTTGAAATACAAAGATGCTTCTTTTGGAATGTATTTTGAGTATAAGGTTACAAGTTCAAATACCAACCTAAAATTATAATTATGATTCTAACTATACAAATAGTTTTAGAAAACTAAAATTACTTTCAAAATCTAGTTAACTAAATTGATTAAGATTTAAGTTTTTTTTTTGGTAACTGAATAATATTTCGACATAATTTTTTTAATTTTCAAAATCTCTATAATTCCATTTAAAGTGGATATTTATCCCTTATAGTATATTAATTGAGAACCATTTTTAAAACTTAACCTTATCCTCATGTGTAATTAACAATAATACCATGCTGACGTGTCGTTTACACAGAGCTTCAAAATCCATTTAAATTAAACCCAACATTTATTAAGATATTTACAGAATTTGATACTATTAGTTTTACTTATATTTTTTTCCCATTGTGTTTTTTATTTTACTCAATTATTTAAAACCAAAATACAAATAAAATATGCAATTAAGATATACAAATCTATACAAAATGGAGTAACTAATATTTTGTATATTGATTTAATATACCAAGATATATATCATAAATTATGATAAACATAAATATTAATACATAAATGAAAATTTCACTAATTTTGATAATCATTAATATACCACCGTTTATCTAATAATATAAAATCGAACACCTTCAATATCATCGGTACATTAAAATTGGTTAAAAATCGTTTTATCCCGCACATAATGCGGGTTGTTATCTAGTTTACTCTTAAAAGTTAGTACAACATCAAATCATTGATCAGCGTCAGGTCGATATAAAAGAATCCCTCTATCGAATGGTACGTTAGAGAAAGCTTATCGGAAAATGTTAAAACTCGACAAATGTGACAATGATTCGAATATTATCCGCGGTTATAATAGTAATTACCACAATAGTTATATATAATCATGTTTACAGTTTTGGA